CATGATAAAAACATAACAAGGTAAAACCATTGAGAGGCAGTCTGACGTTTGCCAACAATATAATTTTAAAATCAAAACTCAAACTTACACACACATTCTCATTTTCAATCTCAAACAACAACAATTGTGAACAATTTAATTTTTTTATTTTCAATTTTATATGATTTTAAAATGTTGGCAAACGTCAGAACAAAATCATGGCCGACGAATTGAGAGAATGAATTTACCTTGTAATGTTTTTATCATGACTGCTACTCAATCGCTTGTTTTGTATGGAAGAAGGTTTATAGGAATTTTTATAAGAAATTCAAAGTATTTGACATTTTCGAGACCAAATAATTTGAAAAAAATTAACATTAGCCGCTCTACTGATACTACCTGGTTTTGTAAACTGTAGAAATTGTTTGCAATTCCAAACTTTAATACTCAATTTTTTTTTATTACAGCTTGATACAGATGGTAACTACTAATGACTAGCTACCAATCCTTGATCTGGAATTATATACAAGAAAATATGTACATAATAAAAAGATGTTTCGAAAAAGTAAGGTAATATTTATGTATGCATTTGTTTATGTATGTATGTATGTGGAGTGCCTAATTAAAAGAGGATTTTTCCTCGATAAATCATTTAAAGAAACAGACGAAAATGAACGAACCCTAAATATACTTTAAACATCATGATTTGTCGCAGTAAACAAGGTGGCCTCATATCAAGCCAAAACGAAAAATATTTTCTTAAGAGGTAAGCCTCTGCTGCTAGCGCTGCACTTCATCGGTTGTATAATAATTGTTATTATTATATTAGCTTTCTTAAAAAAAAAAAATAAAAAAAATTAAAATTTCCGTAAGACCATGATGTAATGAGGAAATATCATCTTTTGATTAAACACTCTCTGATGTTTTCACAAAATGAAAATGAAAAGTGATGAAATTTTTTGATAGGGACATCTGAAAATCTATGAAAGATTTATCATTTTTAAAATATACTGATCTACTTTCGTATCTATGTATGCACTTATTTTAATATGTAATATATGTATGTATGCATACAAATAAATATTTTAAATTCTCTACCGAACTGAATTTCGTAGGTCCAAAAACTGATTTATCTCTGGGCTGATGTTTATTAAGTGGATGTAATAGTAGAATAAATATAATGGCAGTTTTAAAAGCTAAACTATAGATGACATTAACTGGAGAGAGAGACTTTTTGATCAGCATTGTTTATAAAGGTAAATTGCACATATTTCAAACGAATATACATATGAATGGGATTAACCCAAAGTTTGTTTATCTTTACAATTTGTCTATGTTGCAAATTTAGCTACTCCTTGNTGCACATATTTCAAACGAATATACATATGAATGGGATTAACCCAAAGTTTATCTTTACAATTTGTCTATGTTGCAATTTTAGCTACTCCTTTCCACTTCATTTACTAATATAACTAGAAAATTAAAATGTTGGATTAAGTTAAAAAAAGTAATTGTAAGTAATCACATCTTTTTAATTTCTAAAATTTTCATTTTTATTAGAGCTTGATACGGAATGTAACTACTAATAAACTTGATGTCACGTCGTATAAATATGTATGTACATATGTACATATGTATGTGGCTGTTTCGTAACAATAAGGTAAGTAAAAATAGTTATTCATGCATATGTGTGTATGTATGTGGAGTGTCTAATCATCAGGCGATTCCGATTCCGTAATGCATTATTTTAAAGGAAACGAAAATGCACGAAATCTAAATATTCTGGAGAATTTCTAACGAATTTCGAACGAAAAGTTCGAGTAGTTTTAAAAACATAGCAAGTATTTTAAAACCCATTTAGCCGTTTTCAGATGTATCCGATCTGGAAGATTACGTATGTGCATATACATATCGTCGATGTTTTTGCAAAACTGCCCATCGACCAATTGCAAATTTTACAGGAGAGCGAAAAAACGGGGTTTCTTTGCAGGCATTGCCTTGATAGGCGGTACTTTCTCCCGCTATTATTTTACAAATATGTTGTTTTAACAACGATTTTACGATTTTTGTGCGTAAATTTCGATTCAGGGTTACAAAATCTCATTTTTTGCACAATGGTGATTCCGGCGGTTTTGCAGCTGGTCGATGGCGGTTTTGCAAAACATCGACGATATGTATGTATATATGTACAGTAATGGACAAAATAATAGAAACGTACAGCTTTCATACGAAGATATCAGCTCATCTAACTATACCACCTTGTATAAATTCGCCTTGAATGAGTGCGAAATTAAGAGTGTTGGAGTTTTTTTTCCCTCTTCCTTGAGCGAAAACAAAGCACAAATGTAGTTTTTGTTTTTGTATAACCGCTCCCACCAAGGCGAGTTTATAAAAGGTGGTGTTGTTAGATCAGCTGATTTTTCGCTTTATGTACATGTATTTTGTTTTTGCTTTTACTGATTTGACAGCACACCCATCAAAAGCAAAAACAAAGTACGTGTAAACTTTGGGGCGAATTGAGATTTGACATAACACCCGCAATACAAAATACATGTGGTTTTTGTTGTTGTATTTTTGCTACCACCTTATATGAATTCCCTTCCGTACAAGAACAGTGATAGGCATTTAATTGATCATGTGATACTCACTGGTGATGGAGATCTCCTCAATCATGTACTTCTATCAACTTTTTAAGAGCAATATGAAAAACGTAATGTAAACTTTTGTGTACATGTGACTATCCGTCTTCCTCCAACTTATGACCTTATTTAGTGGTTTCTTTTTAACCAACGAAAAATTTGCAAATGTGTTAGTAAGATAAATGAGAATGTGTTAGTTTCCATCACACAATTCTTGTAGGGTTTGCTACCTAATGGTGAAAACAAGGTGTGTATTTAACAAGGTGGTGTTGGGGCGACAGCTGAATTTTTCGCCGTGAAGGGCATTATGTTAAAATGTTGTATTTGTTGTAACTCATACCAATGACAGTATGGATATTGCGTATAACTTTTTATACTATGTCCCCACCATAGCTTAACCGCGTAGTTATGGTTGTTGAGTTGGTTATCTCGATAACCCACTTGAATTAGCGTGGTTTCGCTATATAAAAATGACAGCACTTAACCATTTCACTGAGATGGTTAAAAGCTAACCAACTCGAAATCACGTTGAAAGTCTGATACATTCCTTAATTAAAAAATTCGTTCCTTACCGGTGTTCGGAGCTAAAATCCGATCGGATTAGATTTACTCCGGTTTTTGAAAAAAATTTAAATCTACTCTACTACTCCGCTTGATTTCAAATCAATTCCGTTTTTTTTCATTTATGTTCTGTTCCTCTTGGGCCCGTTTTCACCCTCGGGTTTAGTGAAATGTTTGTTAATTAAGCAAAATCCCACTGATAAAAAGAAACTCGTTAAAAAAAAATATATGTAATATATTATCTTTACATTGCCTTGCGTTCTTATTTTTTTGCAAGAATAAAAAATATTTAAGTCATACAATTAATGTCGAAAGCGAAAATAGTTAGAAAATGCAAATCTACTAGTACGGAAATTTGTTTTTGCTCTGATTTTTGAAGCGATTTATTCCTGATGCGAGTTATAAACCTCAAACCGCAATGTGGACAGCAATAGTTAGTGCTGTGGTTTAGTTCAATTTGAGATGGTTAACTTTTTGGTGGGGACATGGTATTAGTGTAATTTTTCAAAATGTTTTACTTATATACGGCTAACACCACCTTGTTAAATACACCTTGGGTGAAAAGGTACACAAAAATAAAATCAGTGAGCGGGTTGCTTTGATTATAGAGAGCATCTTTCTCCATCGCATTTTTGGTAGAATCTACTTTTTCAAAATCGAATTAGGCTGCTCTCACTCATGGCCTCATATTACATAAGTTCAGAACTTAAAAATTCCGGAAGTGGAATCACCTATGATTAGACATTCTCAGATGTGCTTAGAAGTGCACAAAACCAAAAACTAAATGATGAAGTTTTTTGATAGGGACATCTGAAAATCAATGAAAGATTTATCATTTTTAAAAACTGACCAACTTTCCTATTTATGAATACATAGATATGGACATATATAAATATGTATTTTTGAACAATTTGTAAAATATTTACATATATTAATATTGCAAATTCTCTACCGATTTGAATTTCGTAGGTCCGAAAACATATATACTTCTGGCTGATAATGGTTTAAAGTGATGGCGGATTTAAAAACTAAACTAGCGCAATTTTGAACTATGCCATTAACTCGGGAGTGTGACGTAACTCTACCGACGCAAGAACCAGAAAAGGCACTTGCCACCCGGGCACGTCAGTAAGCATCGTCTGGATACCAAGGTCGCTTTGGAAACTCTCGTCCCATAAATGCCGTTATTGGAGCCCAACCCCTACCAATTCCATACAATGAGCTTCTTCGGCTGCAATGAGAGACCCGCGTTACTTTGGCCCAGTTAAGGTCTGAATACTGCAGTACTGGAGACTCCCCGCAAGTCGTACACGAGAGCGGCCAAAAATAGAAAAAGTTAAGTTAGCAAATTCGGAAAACTTTGAATGCCAATCGACAGTAAATCCTCGAGTATAAAAAACCGAAATATTTCCGAAAAATTTGGATTAATGCTGTTTTCGTTTTCCAAAGTTGAGAGTTTATAAAATAAAATAAAGTAATAAGAAGAGTGCAACTTCACAACAAGCTTTTCAGGCGTTCCGCGATTTTCAGGCTTTCAGCTACCCAATTCAGCTATTGACGAAAACCTGAAAAGCGCCGAGCGCCCGAAAAGCTTGTTGTGGTGTGGTACTCTTTAACAGCTTATATATGCTGTTTCCAAAACGTTGTAACTTTTTTTATTTATGTGGCGATTCTAATATTTTTTTTGTGTCAAGTCTTGTAATCAATTTTCAACCATCTTCTCGACGAGCTAGAGCCATGATAACCACTTAACAAGGTACATTCATTCTCTCAAATCGTCGGCCAAGATTTTTTTCTGACGTTTGCAAGCATTTTAAAATCATATTGAAAGTAAAAAAAAAATGATATTCTTCACAATTGTTGTTTGAGATTGAAAATAAGAATGTGTGTGTGAGTTTGAGTTTTGAATTTTTGAATTATATTGCAGGATGACAATGCAATATGAAAGATTAATTAATCCGCTAGGTGGTACAGGAATTGAGATATTTGAATAACCTGTATTTGTGTATATTCCGATTTGGTTAATATTTGAAATGTATATAATATACATATTATGTATATATTACCTAGACGAAAAGAAATAACTCCACAAAAAATGTAGCCGGTAGGTGGCACGGTGGTCGATATATTTCGAAAACCTGCATCTGTGGTTTGATTTGGTTTACATTTACTGTATATATTACTTACATGAAAAGGAATAACTTTCCGGAAAAATTTGCCGGTACTTTGCGCAGGACATACATATTGATAACTTAATCTTTATTTTTATTAAACCGCAGCTCATAGTTTTTGCTGTTGTTGTTTCAGGCATAAGCATAAAGTGCATTTACGAGTTTTGAAAGTCGTGGAAAATCCGTCTTGAGAGATCTCAGTCATGCGTGTGTTTAAGCGTTGGTTTCAAGAGAATTTTTTTCAATGTAGTAGGCACGGTGCACATTAGAGCGATACGATAAGCGATACGGTACGAAAGCGATATCGACATGCTAAGTACGTGGGAATTGGTAGGAAACGATGAAAACGAGCGACACGGTTTGCGTGGTATCGCGTGTCGTGTCGCTCTAATGGAAACCCCTAAATACGTACTCAAATACCATAAAAAAATGAGATTTTCTTTAAATACAATTTAAAAAACTACAATAAAATAAATATTTAAAAAACTTTCCTGCTCAGGAACTCGAACCTTGCCACTCTCGACTAGCTCTCCAGAGCTTTGCTCTATCGGCCATTGCGACTGTTTGAGCGCCGCGAGTAAAATGACATACTCATTCCTTTCACGGTAAGTAAATTGTGTTTTCTCTAAACTGAGTGAAATCGTTTACTCATATTAAGTGAGCCATGTTGTTTTTGTTGTTGTAGCGGCTACAACAACCCCGCCCAGGACGGTTGGTATCTCAGTCGTTGTCGTCAAATTCCACTAACGGCAACCCTTGGAAGCGTGCAGCTGACAACCGCAGGGACAAGGCCGTTAGGGTTGTCGGGTTTTCCGGGCATGCGAAGAGATGTTTCGAGTCATGTGGGGTCTCTCCGCATGCCGGACACTCATTCGGCACATCCTCATTCAACCTACTCAGGTAGGAGTTCAACCTGCTGCAGTAGCCGGTGCGAAGTTGTGCAAGTGTTGTGCGAGTCTCCCGGGGCAGATGAAGCTCCGTCTCGTCTATGTCCGGGGGTGCTTTGCCAGGAACGGCATTCACAGGTCTAGAGACTACATAACTCGAGACTGAGTCCCTGTGAATGCTGTTCAGGGCCTGTCGGTATGCTGTCGGGTCCAGAGGTTGCTTGTTGNCTCCGCATGCCGGACACTCATTCGGCACATCCTCATTCAACCTACTCAGGTAGGAGTTCAACCTGCTGCAGTAGCCGGAGCGAAGTTGTGCAAGTGTTGTGCGTGTCTCCCGAGGCAGATGAAGCTCCGTCTCGTCTCGACGGGGTGGTATGCCTAGAACGGCATTCATTCCCAGGTCTAGAGTCTACATAACTCGAGACTGAGTCCCTGTGAATGCTGTTCAGGGCCTGTCGGTATGCTGTCGGGTCCAGAGGTTGCTTGTTGAACCTCTGGACTTCGTCTGTCAGTTCATATAGATGCCTCCTGACGTGCCTAGGCGAGGGCTCCTCTGCAAGCAGCTGTCTG